CTGACAGGTATCCAGTGTAATTCGTGCACAGCCCTGTAAGGAAAAGTGTTATAATCCCCAGCTTTAGCGATTACGAAAAGGGGCAGGGCACTGAATGTTCAAAACTCCAACTCATGAAAGAATTATAAATAGGCCTAAACTGAGACACTCCGAAAGCTAGTGGGACCACCTCTTCCACATGCTGGTGCCTCCCTGAACTCCCTGCCTCCAAGCCTTCCTTGGTGCTGTCGTGACAATGCAATGCCTGAGCCTCCAGGGAACATCAGCTGGAGGTCCCACCAGCGCCCTCCCATCCTGTTGACCATTGCACTGTCTGTCCCCTGTGGACACGTGATACCACATAATCATGAAGCTTAAGTCAATGATGACTAACTAAAGGCAGCAAAGATATAATCAGTTTTAAAACATTAACTAATAAAGAATGAATGGTCCTGTCCTATACCTGTACAAATCAATACCACCACCATGACCACTCCTGGAAATACATTTTTTCTGAATTTTTTACTTTTTAAGCCTCAATTTTTAAAGGGTGGTTAACTTCAAATATATTCTTTAAACGCACTCATTTTGCCTCTAACTTTGTCAATATGCTGCCCCTCCTGAATGTCATCCTTACCTGTAAGTGGAGTAATCACTTGCCTATAAGGTCTGATCTGAGTGGTACTGAGAAAAATCCCAATGTTTGTAAATATTTCTTCTTGGCAGCTTCACTTGATACTTGTAATCCCCACAAGTCTTTCCCTAAGTAATTAAATGGTCATAATAAACTGCAATAATAACAGTAATAATAATAACTCCTGGAGAATTAAACCATAATAAGCTATTAATACCTAGGAATTAATTAATTTCTGAGTCAGAGGTTACACTGGGAAAATGGGGCAGACATTCAGAAGGGTCCATCAAAGCAAACTGGGCTGTTATCAAAGGCCCATCCTAAGTTCAGGCCCCTGATTGGGGAGCATTCAAAAGCACCCATGTAGGCAGCTAAATGGGGAGAGGTTTGGAGTAAATAACCCAAAAAGCATATTCCCCTTAATTTTAAAGACAAGGATATTAAATATAGTAAAGTTCATTAAACAGTACCACTCAAATGTCCCAATATGGGCCACCTGAAAATGACCAAAAGTGCCTTAGTGTCTGCCCTACTCCTGAGCTTAAGTGCCCCACTTCTTCCCTTTAAATAAATAAATTCATTCTTTTTAAGCAAAAGATTAGATCCTTGCTTCATATTCTTAAAATGTCATTTTACTCTTCTATTAAGAACATCTTCTAGGTTTAATTGAAGATCAATTAAACTTCCCTACCTCTAAATTCCTTCTCCTAAATATTAGATATGAGTAATTATGTTTCATCACACACAGAAAAAAAAAAAAAAAGCAAAGACCCAACGCACATTTGAGAATAATTTACCATTCCCACTCTCCCAAATGGGAATTGGAATAACAAGACTGATCATAATTGGATTAAGAACTATAATTCTTTAATTCATTCACCAAATTGAGGCATTTGGAATCATTTATTTACAGAGCTGTTTAGACAGTTTTGTGTAATGTTTTTTAAGATAAACCAAAATGCCTTTCTGAAAGAAGTTTCAGAGCCCAAATCATTAACATATGAACACCAAATGTAGACAATTTACATATGGGTGCTTTAAAACAATGTTTGCAACAAAAATTGGACTTTTATTTTATTAACTGCAAATCTAAGTTCAGGATATAGTTTATTTGAAACAGCCAAGAACTTTCTTCACCCTTAAGATAAATCTACATTTCACAGGCTAAAAATTGTGATGAGTGCGTGGGGAATGTATTGACTTTCAGGCCTAGACATATAAGTTTTCCAGGTTACTCTCAAAACTCTAATTATAGCCTTCTCTACCACTGGAGGTGATTAGATATTGGGTGAATCATCCAGGTATTCCAATCAATCATATCCAACAATTTTACCTGCTGGAAATCTAAACAGTGTTCAGCATTGGAACTCTAAATTATTTGAAATCTAGTGCATTTTAGATTACTAAAAACAAGTTTTATCCTGCCCGATATACTACTTTTTTTATTTAATGTGAACATGCCTTCAAGATGATTGCCTATCACTCATAAAAGAACAGAGCTTTTTCAAGAAGACAGTATATTCTTTTAATCTTTACATCACATTTTTCATTTGCTTTATAGAAAAAAAAATTGTTCAAACATTCAAATTCATTCTTTTAACTGGAAAATGAAATTTTAAACTCTCCCTATAGCTCATGCCTTATCCCCACCAATGTCAAAAAAAAAAGAAGCCATCACTCCTGAATATAAACTTCACTTTTTTGTTCTTAGTATTCACTCCATATACTCCACAGATAAAATCTTTATAAGCATATATTCATTTTTTCCTTTTAACACCACCATGTGTCAGTCTAAACAGGATGTGCATTTACATGTATAGCACTAAGTTAACTTGAAATAACCACTGGATCTCAAATGCCCAGTTATTTACCAAATACCTTTGAAAGTTTTGAATCCTGTATACAACATACCATTCAACCAGAACTGTTTAAGCTCAACAACCAAACTGGTACAGGGTTTCTTTATTAAGAGTTGAAGTTCTTTTTTTTTTTCATATATTAAGTGTTTACTCTTTCAAGTCTATGTCAGATTGGTTCATTACCACCCATTCAAAAAGGCTACAAAAAGGGGATTTAAAAAAAACAAACCCACAAGCAAATAAAAACCTCTATTCATTTTTCATGTATATGGTTGTTAGAAGACCACTGGAAAGAAAAGGAGAAAAAAAAAGAATTTCAAGCGAGTAAGCTAGTATATAATTAACACAAATAACTAAATAATTATGCACATCCCTTCCCACCCCCACAAGTAAATGTTTTTAAACAACTCATCTGATGAAAGATCCACCTTTTAGGCAAACAAAAGCAATCCCTACCAGTTTAAGGATTTCAAGCTGTATTGCATCAGTTTTAAGTGATGCTTATGATTTTTATCTTGTATAGTTCTGAGGAGTAAACAGTTGATGACATAATTAGCAGGAGAACTTTGCACAATGCCTGACAGAACTCTCAGTGTAAGTGCTTGTGATTTAAATCATTGTGGCTGACTGTACTTAGGCTTCAGCCTGGGAGCTATATTTAAATCAGGAAGAAGCACCCCCAGAAACTTTGTCCCAAGTGTCTGCATCTGAAACCAGATTCCTCCCCTATCACAGCGAACAGCAGTTCACAATCCAGCTGAGTTCTTTCAAAATTAGACCAAAATTCAGCAGTTGTGTAAAAGACCCTAAGAAATCGTTCTCCTTTTATATTTTATAAAAGCCAAACTTAAAAAAAAAAAAAAAAAACATTTCCATTTCCGTATACTTTAAAACCATCTGGTCCTTAACCGAATCACTCTTGGCAATCGAGCCTCAGTCCTGTTAATCCTGATCAAAAATTCTGCTCTGGCTTTCCTGATTGAAATGTCCAGTGCCTCTGAATCTCCCACGCGCCTACTTCATTGGCCTGTTTGTGTGTGTGTGTGTGTGTGTGTGTGTGTGTGTGTGTGTGTTGTTGTGGTGTTGGGGTTTTTTTTCTTTTTAGGATACTAGGGAACATTATTTATGAGCATCAAAGAAACAAATCACTCTGTTGAGTCCCTTTGCAGATTCCCACACTTATTACCCAAAATCCCACATATTTCCCTTGGTCTTGCCCTGGACTCAAAGAGCTGAGCTGAGCCTGCAGGGAGCCTCTGGGGAAATGGGCTCAAGCCTTTCTGGACAAGGACTTCGGATATCTGGATATTGGGACGCTCTCGACTGACTGAGACAGCACAAATTCCTGAACTTTTCTAAGGAAGTACAGTTGACTGCCACCCAGAGCGGCTGGGTGGGCTGCCCCTGACAGTCTCACCCTGCATAGTCACAGAAGTTCTCATTTTTGATCTGCATTAGTTGAGAAGGAAAGACATGGAAATGGACTCACATTCACCACACTCAGATCTGACCCCCCGGAGGCCAGCTCTTGGGATTTCACCAGGGTCAAACTGTTCATTAATATATTCGTTTGCAAAGTGTAAGGGAAATTACTACTAAAATATGTAAATAATGCTTCGTGTGCATCTGGTGACAGCAGATCAAAGGGCAAGAAACTGCTGCGATCAATGGAAACATTTCCAAGTCCAGTTTGATCTAAACTCCTATAACCTCTTTTCTCTGCTCATTATTGTAGCCCCAACGTGCAAGCGAGGTGTCCCAAACCCGCGCTTAAAGGGACAACACGTGAGTGGTCTTCACTTCGACTGCGCAATGGGGGGGGGGGGGGGAAGGTAGTTGCAATTAATCAAGCTTCCGGTCCCTGAAATCCCTAGAAGAATCCTGAAGGATGAGACTTGTTTCCAAAATCCCGGGCGGGAGGGAGGGGAAGTGGTAGGGAGAGGGATTGCAGAAAGCGAAACAAAAAGACGAAAAGGGGGGATATGCAGGTCGTGGGGTTGCCTGGGGGTCGCGCGTCTATCCTAGGAAGGGGCAGGAGCTCTGTCCAACTTTGTAGGGTCTGGCGTTTGGCGTCCACCGCGGTGCACAGACGAGCCTAGGATCCTCCCTGCACTCCCTGCCCTCAGCTCTCATCACCACCTCCACCAACACCACTTAGAAAACAATACGGGCCACAGCTCGCAGGCTCCCCAACAGAAAGACAAAGTTATCCCAGGTCCTGCCCGGGGTCCGCGCGCACACGCCAGGGCTCCCCCCGCCACGGCGGGCGCCCCCCGAGGATGACAGAGCCACTTCCAGCGTCCAGCCGCCTCTCGCCTCTCCCCCCCTCCCTGCCCGTCCCCCTCCCTCTGTACTTGAGGAAACTCCCGCGGCGGCCCCCTCCCTCCTCCGCGACTCTCCAGCTGGAGCCGGGGACGGGCGCTGAGTGGCGGGCGCGGCGGGCGGCGGAGGGGAGCTCTGCGCCTTGGAGGGCTGCCCACAACAACATCGGGACGAACAACAAAGTTAAAACGCGGCGATCCACGCACCTTACCGGCTCTTCCGACCGTCTCCTCGGGCGCGGGATGCAAAGTGGCACCGTGGCGGGCGGGGGGCCCCCGGGAGGAGACTGGAGATGGGTTTTGGTGGCTCGCCTTTTTCACTCTGTGTGTGTGTGTGTGTGTGTGTGTGTGTGTGTGTGTGTGTGAGTGTGTGCGCGCGCGCGTCCCTCTCCCCCCGTCTCTCGCTCGCCCGCTCGCCCGCGCTCCCCGTGTAGCTCTCAAGGACGAGGTGAAATCCCTGGGCTGGTCATGAGGCGGCTTCAGAGACAAACAACACAATGCGAGTGCAAATAACAAAAGGCAAAAAGACAGTAGGAACAATGGGGGAGGCGAGGGCAGCGCACCAGCCGGCGGTCACCGCGCCCGGCGCCCGCCCCCGGGGGCGGTGGGGGGGCGGGGGAGGGAGTGCGGCGGGGGAGGGCGCGGGGGCGGCGCCGGGGGCTCGGGCTCCCTCCAGGTCGCCCCGGAGCTCCCGCAAACCCACCCTGACCTCCTTCCTGCAGCTCGCCGCCCGGCCTCCCTCCCTGCCCATCCAAAGGGAACGAACCCCCGGAGTTTGCTTCCCCGGCTGCTGCAGAGTAACTAGATGGTAAATTACGGTGATTGCCCACACCGTGCAGGAATGTTTTTTTAAAAAAATATATGTTTGCCCTCCACTTCCAGGAGAGATCAAATGAAATGGCAGGAGGGGAAGGAGCAAGGAGAGTGCGCTAGCTCCAGATCGCGATGGACCTCGCGTCTATAAATACGCATTCGTGGTGGGTCAAGTCCCCTTTGTCAACTTCCCCGCGTTGGACCCTCACCCGCTGCCCCGTAGTCGTGCCGTGGGCCCCTTCTTGCCCTCACCCCGGTTTGCACACAGGAGAGCTGCTCCCGAGAGCGCGAGCGGGGCTTTGCGGGTGTGCGCGCGCGGAACCTCCTCGGAGGCGGCCGCCGCCTGCCCAGCGCTGGGGCTGGAGCCGGGAAAGGTTCCGTTTTTAAAGCGACCACCGCCTCCCCGAGCCGGGCTCGCCCGCACTGTATCCACCTCCTCCTGGGGGGTGGTGCGGGAGGCAAGAAAAGTTTTCAGGCACTCTCCTCTCTGCCTCCGGGGTGGTTGAACTGGTTTTGTTTGGTGTGGGTGAAGCCAAAAAGCCCAGTGCCCAAGAACCAAGGAATGATATGCGGGGAGAAGAAGGCTCCGCGCCGGGTCAGGACTCCTGCGCCACAGGAGTTGGCGCGTGAAGGCGAGAGAGAGACCCCCGAGTTACATCCCGGCGGAAGGAACTCCGTAGGTAACGCCCAGAAGAAGAGGTGGGCTGATGTAAGTGTGCACCGACAGCTCCCGGGCTACCCCAGTGCTTATCTCTAACAATCTTACTTTCATTGACTTAAAACAGCTGCGGGTTTGCGGTGGCGGGGGGGGGGGGGGGAATCCTATGATATCTCAAGCCGGGGGGGGGGGGGGCGGGGGGAGAAGGGATACTGACTGATCTTCTCAGAACTGGTGTCCAGAAAGGGACGAGAAGGGAGGAGTCGCGAGGGAGACAGTGGGTCTGGAGGAGGGCGCTGGAGAAGGGGGCTGAGACACGATGCGAGCAACACGTTTCTTTTTCTCGCTGTTCCCTTCCTCTTCTCTAGCTGTCTACCGATTTGCATGCTCTCTGGCCTCATCTCGGCGATGTCTTTCAGACGCGCATCCGTGGAGGGAGCCACGTCCCTGAGCACTCCCAGCATTTCCCAGAGTGCAACACCACCACCGGGGATCGATGACCACAGTCTGTTTATTCTTCTCGCGCCTGGGAGAGCAGGGCACTGAAGCAGCATGGGAGGGAGGCTTAGGGCTTACCTGTCTGCGCGATCCCTCCAGACGTCTGGCTGGTTTCTCAAAGGCAGCTCAGCTCCCAAGCAAATATAGCTTCTTAATGCATGCAACACACACCGATCACAACGTATTCACTTAGAAAAGTGATACATCCTTTCTCCCACCCTTTGTAGATTTGTTTCTTCCACCCTTTGTAGGTTGTTGTTTTTTTTTTTTTTTCTGGGGGTGGATTGCTAATACCTGAGATGTTGCACTTGTGTCGAGTGGAAACTTTCTGGGGTGTTTGCTGATTGATTATTTGGTACCTGCTTTCTAAAACAGGCTAAACACCTTTCCTTAGAACAAAAGTGAGAAATGCAAATCTTAATAACTCAAGGCAAAAATTTCAAAGTGTAAGAACAGTTATTATCCACTCCCACAAAAAAAAAAGCTTCCTCTTCTACAAATATTTGATCTTGATCGCAGAGAGCCCAGTAATTAAGAGAGCAATCAAATAAACGCGGGGCTTTCACGGGCACTCTAAATTATCATCTGCCTAGAATTTATAAGCAGGGTAATCATTTGCCACTTGGAGGTAGCTCTGGATATAGCATTCTAAATGTGTACCCTTAAACAATTTACTGTTTTCTTAAGTATTTAATGAGCGAGACCTGTGGGTAATAATATTTAAATTGCTGGATCAATGTGCCCTCAACAACTGTGTGAAAAAAATTCTCTGTGAATGTCCATGAAACACCTTTCCTACATGTTACTTTTTCTCACATTTCCTTGATCATCGAAGCTTCAAGTCAGAGACTCTTGTGTAATAAGAATATAAGAGTTTATCAATAATTATACTGTATCCTTAAGTGTTAGTTTTATTTTAAAGAGATCCTGGCACCATGAAGTGATTTATTCTCATAAGACATATGTAGTTGCTTTTTCACAATTAGTTATTACTATGTCTGATCCAGGTCCTTACATGATGTGCAAGAGGCAAATCAGCCATACTACCGGAAAAAAATTTAAAAAAAGTCCTCTCACTACCAAGTATATGAAAATATATATAACATTTGCCAAAAGATATTCTGTTACGGTGAATTTCCCCTCGATTTTAGTTTACTTCTCTCAGACCATACTCAGTGAAAATAAAGGGACAGAGGGAGTCTTTTACCCAGGGTCTCTGGCCAATGGGTGACGAAGCTGCCAGCTTGGCCTAACCTCACCAACCAGAGAGGTGCCACCTTCTCAGGGTTTCAGCATCTACTGCTTCTTCAGTATACCAGCTTTTGGGACCAGCAGGCTTTGTATGGGCAGGAGAGGGGAGGCCTGGCAGAGGGAGAGAAGGGGCAAAGTTGCAAGCTGCCTGGTGAGATATCATTAAAACCTGAATTACACCAACCTCTTTGCTTTTGCTTCTACAGGCAGCGATACTTCAAGCCATTATGGTTATTGAAACCACATGCCCTTAAGACTAACTGATGATTATTATATAGCAACAGCATAGCTGATCAAAAACTTCCAGTGGGATGTTTGTTTGGGTTGGGCTTTAAAAAACACAAAAACACCCACAATGGAAGTGGGACTGACATATTAAAGATCAGTGTTTCCATTTATCAAGCATTTACTATGTGCCAGGCTCTTGGTCAAGTGCTTTTGTTATGTATGTGGTCTCTACTTCTTACCATAAACTTGCAAGAATGTTATATCTCTGTTTTGCAAATAAGAAAACTAAAGCTCAGAAAGGTTAACCGACTTGCTCCAGATCACACAGCTTCTAAGTGGTTGTGCCAGCATGGGAATCCAGACTGCTCCAGCTCTAAGTTTGTGTTCTTTTTATTTGTTTGTTTGTTTTTATTGATTTCAGAGAAGAGGAAGGGAGAGGGAGAGGGAGAGAGAGAGAGAGAGAGAGAGAGAGAGAGAGAGAGAGAGAGAGAGAGAGAGAGAAGCATCAATGATGAGAATCATCTATTGGTGGCCTCCTGCATGCCCCCTACTGGGGATCTAGCCTGCAACCCAGGCATGTGCCCTAATTGGGAGTAAAACTGTGACCTCCTGGTTGATGGGTTGATGCTCAACCACTGAGCCAAATCGCTGGGCTAAGCTTGTGCTCTTTTCATCTGGATGTCACTTATATTTTACTAGAGGCTTGGTGCATGAAATTTGTGCACTGGGGAGGGGGGTTCCCTCAGCCAGGCCTGCGCCCTCTTGCAGTTCAGGAGCCCTCGGGGGAGGTCCAACTGCTATGGAGGCGAGGCGGGAGAAGCTCCCACCACCGCTGCTGCTCTCGCCAGCTGTGAGCCTGGCTTCTGGCTGAGTAGCACTCTCCCTGTGGGACTGCACTGATCACCAGGGGGCAGCTCCTGCATTGAGCGTCTGCCCCCTGGTGGTCAGTGTGCATCATAGCAACCGGTCATTCTGCCATTGGGCCAAAACTGGTTCTCTGACATCCCCTGAGGAGTCCCAGACTGCAAGAGGGTGCAGACCAGGCTGAGGGACCCCAACGGTGCATGATCAGGCCGGGGAGGGACGTGGGAGGTTGGCCAGCCAGGAAGGGACCATGGGAGGACTCCAGGGCATGTCTGGCCAGTCTCACTCAGTCCCAATTGGCCTGACCCCAGCAGCAAGCTAACCTACCAGTTGGAGCGTCTGCCCCCTGGTGGTCAGTGCACGTCATAGCAAGCTCTTGAGCAGCCTTAGCATATCATTAGCATATTATGCTTTGATTGATTGAACTGATGACCGGACAACTGGACACTTAGCATATTAGGCTTTTATTATATAGGATACTGGGGACTTCTAGCAAGAAATATTATTTCATTAAATGGGTAGATTTAAAATACCAAATTTATACTCTGTAACTCTGTACAGTCTAGTCATGAGCTGTGCTGGTATTTTTACTAATATTGGTCATTAGATAACTGAAATTTCCAAGAAAATCTATATGTGTCATACCTGGAGCATGCATGCATACATATCACAGATTAAGTATAAAAGGTATTGAACAATATAAATGAAATTGTCTAATTTTGTAGTTCAGGCAATTATATAGTACATATGCCTATCTATAGGGTGGGGCAAAAGTAGGTTTACAGCCGAAACCAGTTTGGCTCAGTGGATAGAGCATCAGTCTGCGGACTGAAAGGTCCCAGGTTCGATTCCGGTCAAGGGGATGTACCTTGGTTGCAGGCACATCCCCGTAGGAGATGTGCAGGAGGCAGCTGATCGATGTTTCTCTCTCATCGATGTTTCTAACTCTCTATCTCTCTCCCTTCCTCTCTGTAAAAAATCAATAAAATATATTTTTTTAAAAAAGTTGGTTTACAGTTGTGAGTATGCAAAACAGAGTTTGTTCTTGTATTATTAGTTATTAATTATTGTGTTATTTTCTATACAAACAACTATAAATCTTCTTTTTCTCCACCTTGTATATATCCTTATGATGTATATAATAATAACTAATGGCCCATTGCACAAAGCTTCGCACAATAGGCCTTCCTTCCCCTGGCTGCCGGCACCAGTTTTCCTCTGGCACCCGGGACCCAGGCCTTTGGTCCGGCCACAGCAGCGAGGCTTGGCTTCTTGGCTCCGGCTACTCCCAGCCCCTCCTTTTTTTTTTCCACCTTCTTTAGCGGAGCCCAGGGTGGCCTGGAAGCTTGGCTTCCTCTGTCACCGGGAGCAACCCAAGCCTCCTGCTCATTCCAGTTCCATGGCCACCACCATCTTCAGTTGTCTTCAGTCTTTGTATGCAAATTAACCTCCATCTTTGTTGGGTTAATTTGCATAGTTGCTCTGATTAGCTGGTGGGTGTAGCGGAGTGGCGAGGTGATGGAGTGATGATTAATTTGCATGTTTCTCTTTTATTAGTGTAGATAGTTACTAAAGTTTTTGCACCCCTGTAACTTTAACAGGTATTGTTCTGAAACCTTTATGTCTATAAACTTACTTAATTCTCACAACCACCCCATAAGGTACAGAATTTTCTTATATTATTTTACAGATAAGGAAACTGAGGCACAGAGAAGTTATATAATTTGTCCAAGATTATACCAGTAGTGGGCAATGAAGTCTGGACATAAACCAAAGTAATCTTGCTTCAAAATTCGTAATCACTTTGCTGTGCTACATTTCAATGCATATACATTCAGATATATATACAATATACATATGTGTATTCATGGACAGATATATATTATATGTAGCTCTCAAAATATGGGGTCAAAGAAAGGCATATCAACTGAGCTGTAACAGTCTGAAGCCCCATATCCTAGCTGCATCCTGTGGCAACTAGAAATATTGATGGGAGAGAGCTTCACATTTATCTAAGGTACTCAAGATTCTCTAAAAATATTTGAGGCAAATATTTATAGATATTGAGGGAATGCTAGTAAATATTAGGGTTATATAATATTGGACCCTGGCTGATTTGCACAAAGTTCATTTTGAATTTATTTGATCATATATGTTAAAAATCACAGAGACAGGGTTAAGAATACTAAAGAAGGTAAGTAGGGATACAAATAAACAGAAATATCGGTTAGCTGAGAAGTGGAGGGAAATGTAGGTAATGTGAGAAACCCAAAAATGTCATCTTCATGGCTATGAATTATCCATTTTTTAAACATTAGGGTAATTTGTCAACCCTCCATTAACAAGAGTATATTATAAACTGGTAATTGAAGGTTAATAATGGTGGACTCAAGCACTGATACTGCTCAAAGGAAACTGAAAATATTTAATAAGAATCCCAGGTATGTGAGTGGTTTATTTCAGGTCTGTTTTCACCCGTCTCACCAGCACAATACCAGTATGCATATCAAACTTTAGGAGTGAGCTACTCCAAATCCAGCTTTGAGAAAGTATTTTGAGATCTCTTTCTCTTCTTTTCTCCCTAAATGCAATATACAAGTTTATGTATGGAAGAAAAACTGACAATAACCTTCCTCCCTCAGGCACTCTAAATCCCGATAACTCCTGAGATACCAACATCTATTCTAAACTATTAATTTGGCCGGGCCCAACGTGCCCCTTCAAAAAACTGAAAAAGACACTCTGTACCTAACAGATGCCACACATTAAGTTGTTACGGGAAAAAAAAAAAAAAAAAAAAAAAACTTTTAAAGCCCTATTATAGATACATATGTTTTCATTTAGAAACTACTATGAAATGGAGTGTTCTTTTATTTAAGCATTCCCCTGTGGTTGTACGAATTAAGGGTGGGTAGTACTGTATTAACAACGGAGAGCCAGGTCGAGCTGAACTGGTTAAAAACAGTTGGTAAAACTGCCAATGCTGGTTTTGTTGCCGAAGGTGACTGAAATGCGAGGCGGCATACAGGCTGAAAAGTAAGTTCTAATGTGTGTAAGCTTTCTCATTTTGGTAAATATTTGGGATGAACTTTTAAAATTTCAGCCACAGTTTTGAAAAGGGAAGTAATGTATAAAGCCTTTACATTACACAGCCAAAACCACAGCTGCATTGCTCTTATTAGTTAATTGTGTTTATTATTCTGATAGTTAAATTTTCCTTTCCTCAGAGAAAAACCAGAGAGAACAGGCTTGATTCTATTTAAGTGAAACAACTTGTAATCCCCTCCTCTTGTCTCTTAATTTACTGTTTTTCAATTTGATTCCTGTCCTTTAATTTTAAATAATGAGTATATAATGTGGGGTGATTTAAACATGTAAAAATCAATTTTTATATGTGGATTTCTTTTAGGCTTAGCTTTCACAATGTATTTTGTGCTTTTTCTATTGCTACAAAATGTGTATCATCAATATACATATAAACCTTTGTGTGCAATGACATAAATTGACTTTATTGATAAGGAAAAGGGTAATGACTGATATATTTTGACTGATTTAGAATTGGTATCAGAACTAATTGTCATACAAGGCAACAATATTTTAAGCTTGAGTCCCAGTAAGGTTTAGGTATTTGGGTCTATGACCTCATAATGATGCCTGTTTCTGTTACTTCTTTGAGATTTTTGGTACGGTTTTACCAATGGCATTGTATAATATGGGAAATATGGTGGGAAAATGAAAGAATGACAAAACAAAAGGTTGAAAATAGCACAAAGACTATGATTTTTTAAAATCACTGAAAAGGTGCTTACTTGAATCCCAGTAAATTATTTGAACAGAGTAAATAAAATTTCAATCTCTAGATATCTGGAACTTCTAATCTAACCCCCATCTTCTCATTGGTACTGATGACCTTAAGGAAATTTAGAATTCAATTCATAGGTTGATTTTTTTTTAAAGAATATGTTAAATTATTGCATCTTAAACTAAACTGTTTTGGTAACTTTGCCCCAGGCTAGAGTAATCAATCGCATCACTATCCCATTGGTCAGAGTTGGTCATACCACTTCCAGTTATTTTAACTACCCCCTTGATTGTGTAATATGCCCATTAATTTTCCAGCTACTGTTAAATTTTGTTGCATAATCAAGTACATGACAAAACATTTATACAATAAAAATTTTGATTCCTGTCAGTAGCTTCTGAACACTGAGTGTTGATCTGGATGGATATAGCTGGGGCTCACAATGGACTTTTTCTGCCTTCCTATAGCAGAAACTTATAGCTATAAACCCTCATACATTTTTT